TTAAAAAGTATTTATAATAATTTTTAATTAAAAAAATAATGTTTTATTATTGTGGCACCACTACGACCTCGACTCGACCAGACAAGATGGCCATCTCCAAAACCGCGGCATTTTTTCAGGGTTCGACAGCTTATCCCTATGATTATTGTGAAGGCCAACACTATAGTCTCATGTAGGCAATTTAGAGACCTTGTACCTTCGGCCCGAAGATCCTTGGCAGAACGCAAGCGTTTATATTTTAATTGCCTTGGACGCTACAGCGTCAAGACGTGCAAAAGCGCAAGACCTGTTTTGCACGGCACCATACGATGCTCCATGAGACTAAGCCCAGCTCAACTATAGCAGCTTCAAGCTCATCACAGTCCGCTCAATCATCATCGTCATCGTCATCTCAATAATCACCATCATCAGCTCATTGAAGGGACGGTGCAGTCGTCAGCTCATCGCCAACATCAAATCATGTTCAGCTTTTTTGGGAACAGCTCTAGCTCAAGTTAAAGTTTCTTTGGCGGCGTACAAGATACGTCTGCTCATTGATTCAAGTTCAGAACTCAGCTTCATCTCCGAACAGATCGAGAGATACATCAGCTCAGCATTCTTCGCCAAAAATCATCACTTATTATCCATGAAATAGGAAGCTCAAGGTCAACTCAAACTCTTGGCGTCGTGCAATTACAATTAAACTCTTTAACTTCTCAAGACTCAAGATCAATGCTCATATTTTAAAAACTATATCATTAATTACACCTTCCAGCAAAATGTCAACTCAGGAATGGCCACACCTGAAGAAATTGTGTCTTGCAGAATATTACCATCCTCGTCCAATTGATATCATTATCGGTGCGGACTCTTATGGATCAAACCCGATATTATCAAACATCATCCATCGATGCCAATTGCTCAGTTTTCAATCTTCGATTGGATAATACTAGAACGATCAACATGTCTCATTCACATACTAGATTTGCTCATCAAATATCTGCTCAACAAGAGGACCTTAAGGAATTACTCACCAAGTTTTGGGTTCAAGAAGAGTTACCTATCGATAATCACTCTCCGTTATCACCTGAAGAGGAGGAATGCGAGACTCATTTTCGTAGTACTCATTCAAGAGACTCATCTGGACGATACATAATGCGAATTCCACTCAAAACATTTGCAACAACTTTAGGAGTTTCTTATCAAACTGCCTCGAAATGTCTACAAAGAACTTTACATCGATTCAACAAAAGTGAAGAATACAACCAGCTTTATAAAAGCTTCATGAGGGAGTATGAAGAACTTAATTATATGAAAAAAGTTAACGGAGATCATGCTCCCGGAATGACCTTGACACATGGATGTTTCGGGAGAGTTGAGGATTTTGGGTGATTCTTCGTCGAAGTGTTCTTCTTCTTATCTTCCTTATTATTTCTCATGGAGTATTTAAAGCCGATAGTTCAACCTGTCATTAACACTAAGCTTCGAGTTGTGTTCAACGGTTCAAGCCCTACATTATCAGGGAAATCTCTCAATGACATCATGCACTGGGGCAAATCTGCTGCTTAATATTATGGACATTCTTATTTGGATTCGCCATCATCAGCACATATTCATCACAGACATCACTAAGATGTACTGACAAGAGAGTTTATCCAGAAGATTGGGATCTTTAACGCATCCTCTGGATAGATGACCAACGCAATGAAATCCCTTTCCAGCTCACTACGGTTACGTACGGAACAAAGGCTGCTCCATTCTTAGCGACTCGGGCTCTTCTTCAACTGGTTGAAGATGAAGGACAGTTATATCCGCTTGCTATATCATTATTCACCCATGGTCGATATGTGGATGATATTTTCGGAGATGCAGATACAATTGATTAACTCATCTCCGTTGTTCAACAAGTCATAGGCTTGTGCAACGCGGGCGGTTTTCCACTCGCAAAATGGCATGCAACAAATCAAGAGTTACTCTCAGCAGTCTCATCCAAAGGCTTATCAAAGTCAACACTAACTCTTGACGATTGCATAACCAAATTACTCGGATTAAGTTGGCTTCCTCAAGAAGACAAGTGCGTCTTCTTATCCAAGTTCAATGGTCAGTCAAGTAAACTCACGAAACGCCTGATTTTATCTGAAGTAGCACAGATATTCGATCCGCTCGGTTTTCTTTCTCCGTCATCAAGGCAAAGATGCTTTTGCAAGAGCTTTGGTTGCACATTCTGGACTGGGACGATCCATTACCAGCCCTTCTCAGCTCTAAATGGTCGACAATAAGGGTTGAGCTCAGATCGCTAGCTAGCATCTTGGTTCCACGATGGTTTAATACATGGAGCTATTCAAGAGTGGAACTTCATGATTTTTCGGATGCATCTCAACTTGCCATGGCAGCAGTCATTTATTTGATTGTCAGCTCACAGTCCACTGGCTCTGTGACGTCACTTGTGTGCTCAAGAACTAAGATTGCTCCACTCAAGAAACTAACCATTCCCAGGTTAGAACTCATTGCGGCGCTGCTTCTCGCGAAGCTCATGTCTCATGTTCAAGGTACACTTAAAACTCAAGGTGAATTCAACTCATTTGTGAACGGATTTTTAAGTCACTCTCATATGGATCAAATCTTATGCATTTCGTTGGAAGGATTACATCAGGAACAGAATGGCCCAAATCCAACAATTGTCAACAAATCAGCTGGCGCCACGTTCCTGACTCTATGAATCCAACAAATTGTGCTTTTCGAGGTGTTTCGACTGATCAACTCATTGCTCATCCATTTGTAGTGGATCGGATCTCAATGGCTTATTCAATCTCAAGAGTTCTGGCCAGCTCAATCAGACCTTTCTCTAGGATTTATTAACATGGAGGCTCGTCCTGGATTGGCATTGCTTGCTGCTGCCCCAGCACCAGCATATCATTGGAACTTAGTGTACAGATACTCGTCATTCAATAAATTGCTTAGAATCACAGCTTTCTGTTCCAGGCTCATATGCAAACTCAAGCAAAAGCTCAACTCTCCTCTAACTATTATCATTCCCACACAAGATATCGAACAAGCTAAGATCTTCTGGATCAAGATAACTCAAGTAGTATACTTCTCTCATGAAATCAAGATGCTCAACCGTGGATCTCAACTGCCATCCGCTCATGCCTTCTCCAGATTAACAGCATTCATCAATGAACAAGGCATCATTTGGGTTGGAGAAAGACTCAACGAATTCTCAATTAGCTACCAAGAAAGGCATCCAATAATCCTGCCACGTCACTCTCAACTCTCATCTCTCATCATAGACGATGCTCACAAGGTGATCACTCTCCATGGTGGCACTCAACTGACGCTTGCTACAACCCGACCTACTGGATAATTGGTGGGAGAGCTCCAGTCAAATCTCATATACTCAAATGTATGGTCTGCGCTCGACAACGAGGAATTCATACACGTCAACTCATGGGTCAGCTCCCTCTCGTATGAGTGACGCCCTCACATGCTTTTTTGCACACTGAAGTGAACTAGGCAGGAGCTCAACGCGTGGAAGGGTCTCGCAATGTCTGCGACTCATCTAGAGGTCGTCAACGATTATTCAACGGAAGGTTTTCTAGCTGCATACAGATTTGCCTCAAGAAGAGGAGTAGCTCACACTCTCTATTCGGATTGCGGAACCAACTTCATAGGAGCAGACGCGGCTCTTAAGAAACTTTTCATCGACAGCTCTGCAGAATACAAGGTCATCATTTCATCTATCTCAACAAGCGGCACCAATTGGAAGTTCAACGCTCCAGCATCGCCACATATGGGTGGCAAGTGGGAAGCTGTTGTGAAATCTATCAAATTCCATCTTCGACGAACAATTGGAGACACTCTGCTCACCTATGCAGAGTTCTCAACATTTCTCACTCAAATAGAAGCGGTTCTCAACTCTCGACCGCTCGAATCGCTCAGTGACTCTGAAAACATCTCTGCTCTAATTCCAGGTTATTTTCTCATTTGAACACCTCTCAATTCGATTCCAGAACTATCTCTACTTGATCTGTTTTCTTCAAGACTATCTAGATGGCAATTCATTCAATAACAGATCCAACAATTCTGGTCTCAATGGTCAGCACTATCTGCAGTGGCAACAATCCATCTCTAAGTGGCATCACCTATTCAACATCATCAAGATTGGGTCTTTACTCACTGATGAGAGACTATCACCAAGCAAGTGGCTTCTAGCAAGGGTTCTAGAGTTGCACCCAGGAAAGGATGGACTCATCAGGATTGTCACGCTCAAGACAGCCATCACAACACTCACTCGACCCATGGCCAAGCTCGCACCTCTGCCAGCTCATTCTGAAGATCATCATCAGCATAAACTTGCTGATGGCGGGCGGAATGTTCGAGAATGAATTTAGATTCTCGAAAAAGGTTGCGCACGGGGGTTTCATTATCAAATGGCACTTCGCGGATACATGCATTATGCATGAGTGCGGAAGGTGGCCGCCTGAGGCGCTTCCGGCACTTCTCGTGTGCGCACGCCCATTTCATCACTCTCGTTACGGCCATCTTTTGCAATGCTCGTCACTCGAGATTATGCTCGTTTCGGCTCTCTTGGTGTTTCCGGCTGTGCACCGTTGTGGTGAGTGATTAGCCGAGACTACTCTACGATCAGCCTTCATCAAGATTGAAGTATCGAGACCTGTGCTGCCGAACATTCACAGGCTACGCCGCGCTCGTGTTCACCACGTGGTGTTCACGTAGCCGGCAAGTGCAAGCGTAATCTCGCGTCTCTCCTTTTGATCAGCTCACTTGGAGAACATTCTTTTAACCTCTCCAAGGTTTAATACAGTGTTCAGCTCAGACTAGTCATTGTGTCAGCTCGATCTTCGTCCGCGTGTGACGCGTGAAAACTCTAATAGTGCGGAGCCACTCAAGACAGTTATAGTGAGATCTGTGACATAAACTACATGAATCGCAGCATAGGAATCTTTTTTCGCTCGCAGTCCCAGCATTTTTGTGACAATTTAGCTAATTCGCAAACACATCTTTTTTTTATTTATGCACATTTATACCCTAATCGCACATGATATCATTCGAATATTCTACACTCGTACTGAAAGTACTGTGGTCATACGTACTATTGCCTAATATATCAGTGAACATTCATATGACTTCTTGATGGTATCATTTCTCGTATATTCTTAAGCTGATCTTCAGAATATACCGAATATACCTTATCAGTACATGATTTCATATGAATATTCTGTATTTATATTGAATGTATTGTGATCATACCGAAGATACTAAGATTATTCGTATAAATCTGTGTAGAATATCATTTGTCATATCCCAAGTAGCAAGATGACATCATTATGACAATGATTTAAAATTATTTTTTATCATTCGACGTCAGTGTACTAAATAATAACGTAAAATAAACGTAACATTTGTCACGAAATATTACCGTTATAAATATATCGTCATTTAATCGTAATTTTTAATGAATAAATAATGAAATAAAATTATTAATTATTATCTTTCTTAATTAACTGTAATATATAACTATAATATAAAATGTTGTAATCCGGATTGGATTACGAGATTGTAAGGGAATTGTTAGGGAAAGTTGGGTTCGCCGAGCCTTAGGAATTAAAACTCCGAGCAGGATCGTAGGAAGATTTTTCTGGTCAAATATTATTACTCACTTAAGTAGCTGATTTATTGGTACGACTTCTTGACAATGTTTCGTGTGAATCTCGCTATTACTGATAACGACTGGCCGTGACGAAGTACAACTGCCCTGTTACGTATTGTGACTACCTGCTCTTGATGATTTAGCGGCCGTTTTTATAATATTCTAGTAGTGTCGCGTTATAATTCTAAATCGGACCATATATGGTCAAAACGGCGCGCTCTCGCAAATTTCTCGTTCGCGCTTTACTTTGGAATTTGCGGAACTTGCTTTTGCATGCTTGCATTTCCGACCGGCGTTTCCGGAGCATCGGCTATTCTAAGATTCGAGAATGATCGTGAGAATAAGATATAATATGATAAGTGGTAAAAATAATGTAAGAAATAATTTGGGCTACAACAATAAATAAGAAAAATATTTCCCATATTTAATACAATTATTGACAAATTCATAAACAAAAATATATTCAACAATTTATAAACAATTTTCATAATAAAAATGATTCTCATTAAACATAATATAGTTCACGCATCTATATATGCAATTAAATTATCCACAAGAATTATATATACAATCAAGGTTTTAAATTAAAACTATTTATATGACAATATAGTAACATTCATTAACCGGATCTATCATATTTTATGTCAAAATTCCATCACTTATATCATCATTTCAGTTGCAGGTTTCATCTCATTATAAAAGTTAAGCAGCATCGAGCAGGATCCCAAGAAGGATGGGTGACCATTTTAAAAACATGCAATGATACAAGATAAAAAATGTGTCATTACTTTTTCTCGTTTTTTTTTTCATTTTTTTCACTTATTTTCTTGAGGTGTCACGTATATTATAATAAATCTCTTCACGATCTATATGGCTGTCTGAGATAACTTATGCATGCCCTACATGATACTGTTTTTAAATCATTTTCATCCTATGGTCATACTGTGGGATATTTTTCAGTACATTTCCACTAAGGATTAGGTTAGTGAACCGTAGTAATGATCTAAGTACATTCCACAGTATATCGCAGTACTAGTATGTATTTCGAATGTTCGGAGAATATCTCGAATATATTTGTATGATATCTTGTATGATGTCCCATGGAATATTCTCAGAATAGACGAGTGCTATTAGGATATATTTCTATTACTAAAAATGTCTTTTTCTAAATATATTTTTTAAATACTTTTCTTGGAAGTGCTCCGCTTTTATAACAATATAATTATAAACATATACCTCTTATATTTAATAAGCCAATACACAAGAAAATTATACATTCGCATCTACAATTTGTCGATGCATGGACTCACACCACATTTTACCACTCGCACCTATTTCACGAGACATAATTTTATCGGCAGTGTTGCAAAATAGATGTGACTTGTAGTTCCACTATAGGCTCAATTATAAACGTTGGTGGCGGTAGTGTACGGCGATTTCTACGGTGTCACGAAAAATGCCAGCGTGGCCGCTCAGATTTCTCTTTATATATGAGAAGCGTCCCGTTGCGTGGACAGCGGCCAGTGACTAGAGGTTTTTCTCTGTTTAAACGCTATGAATGGCTAGTGGTCAATTGCAATGTGGTCAAACGGACCCCACCCTTGTATATGTTTTCTAAGAGTGATGCCCGATTGCCCACATTGCCGATTGATCAATTTAAAATAAAATTATTTGATTGGTTGATCCAGTAGAAAATCTCCATCGGTCGCTGTAAGTGGCTTGCAACGTGGTCAAACGGGACGCTCCTATTTTCTAACACTGTAAATTCATCATCGCTGCTATCACTTGATGATACTCCATGAACTCTCATATTTGTAATATTAATATCATGAGATCTTTTCGATTTGCCTCTACTTACATGCTTGTTTGTTATTTTCTTTAATCTGTCGACAACTCTTTACTTTTTATTTTTATTTTATTTTTATTTTTTCTTTCGTCTTCTGTCTTACGTGGCTTTTTTTCGGACTCTTCTAAAATCGTTACGCGTCTCAATGCTATGCTATACTAATGTCATTTATGGAGCTTGTTATCGCTATCGCGCTATTGGCTTCACGAACAGTGTTAATAGCATTTGTAGAGATCCTATAAGAAGAGACTCGCCAAATCGTCACATGACGTTAGTAGACTCTGATTGGCTGGGGTATGGATTGCACATCTGTGCTTCATGAAACGAAACAGATATTTCAATAACCTATTTTGACAAATATATGTTATGTACTGTTACAATACTTACTATGTTTACACGGTCCGATTTACGCCGAAGTTATAACATCGATGTTATAACTACTAATGTTAGATGTCGTGTAAACGCTATTTTGGGTGCTTTCCATTTATCATGACTTGTGTCGACTTGAGCTGACTGAAGTCACTAACTCCTAATGTAATAAATGGAAAGCACCTATCTGCGCAGAAATTGATGCATAATAGATTTTTTGATCTAAATAAAATATCATCAGTATTTTATTAAAATTATTATTATTTAAAGATAATATACAATGTAAGTTTTTTATATAACAATGTAAGTTTTATTACGACAATATGACAATGAAAGTTTTTTATATAACAATGTAAGTTTTATTAAGACAATATAATAATGTAAGTTTTTTTAATTTTCTGTTCTATTTTTATTTTACAAATATACACAGAAATACATATACTTTTATATAGAATTACAATACAAAGCATATAGAGGTTATATGTAATATTAGGTGTACAAAAAAATTCTGAGTTTTAGATTTCATACAACCGAAATAACAATTTAAATTTTATATATCTCCCCGCCCTTTTGCGGTTTTAAAGCATTGACATTTGGCCTTCTAAAATGCCATACGATTTGACGTTTGATGCACATAATCTCAAAAATCAGTAGTGTTCACGATAGCAATAACAAAAGAGCATATTCGATTTTCCATCCACTTCGCGTTTCATCTGAAGAAAAATACTGCTGAAGCCAATGATTTGTGCTGCATATGGAGAGAACGCTGTAAGTCATACTACATGTAAAAGATGGTATCAAAAATTTCGCCAACGAGATTTCAGTCTTGAAGATAAACCGCGTGCTGGATGTCCTCAAAAGATTGAAACGGACGAATTGCAAGCATTGCTGGATATAAACTCTGCGCAAACTGAAAAGGAGCTTGCAGGACAGCTTGACGTTACGCAGCAAACCATTTCCGTACGTTTACATACGATGGGAAAGGTTCAGAAGGAAGGCAAAAGGGGTTCCGCATGAATTGTCCGAAGACAATAAAAATCGTCGGCATGACACTGCACTCACTTTGCTTTCAAAGTTCGGAAAAAAGATTTTCTGCACAAAATCATTACAGGCGATGAAAAGTGGATTCTTTATGATAATAAATAAATATCCTAAACGTAGAAAATCATGGGTTGACCCTGGTCAACCTTCGACATCGACGCCAAAGCCCAATATCCATGCCAAGAACGTTTTGCTTTGTATCTGGTAGGATTGGAAAGGTGTATTGTATTACGAGTTGTTACCGGGTGAAACAATCACGGCAGACCGCTACCAACAACAATTGACCAATTTGAGCGATGCATTAGAAGAAAAGAGGCCATTTACTGGCCAAGTAAATTCGTCGTAAAGTGATCTTGCTTCAATGCTCGACCACATGTTGCGAAAGCGACTCAGGATATCTTTGCGTTAGGCTGGGAACTTCTCCCGCACGCGGCGTATAGCCCAGACATGGCGCCTTC